TTCCATGGAGCTACTCGATTAAACTTTTGATAATATATATTAATTTTTAAAAAATAAGATATTCCAATTATAAATTATTTATAAAAACAAAATATTCGATCTACTTAGAACTATAAACCAATGGAAATCTTTAATTATCATATAAAAAAGGTATTTTATATTATTATTTAACATTTTAATTGAAGTCAAAACTTTTACGGATGGATACAAATAGGGATGAAGGTTTTTTTGATTCATATGTATAAAGGTTATGCTTGTGTATTAATTTCAGGAATAAATTAAAGTAAGTTTTAATTATTGTTGTGTTATAGTGGTAGGGGCATCTTTAATCCTTTTCCAATATTCCACCAACTAGAAAGGAAAACCCTCCTTTTCATGGTCATTTTTCAAGAACACATATACCAAGTTGAAGTCACCAATACTTGATGTATTTTTAACCTGTGTGCATGGTGTATTTGGTACGTAAAACAGTACGGAATATGACAGAAGAGAAAAAAAAACTTGTATTTTTTTGGTGAGACATTAGACTAAGATATGACTTGGTGGAACATAAATGAGAGAGACGTGACATGATTAGTAAATTACTAAATACTGATATCGAATTAAAAAAACCTTAAAACTTTCCACAATTATTTTACTTATTTTCCTGATTCTCATTTTTTCAGTTCTTTTCTTTCTCGTCGAGTCCAATTCAGTTAGTGTACAAAGTAGAGTTTTCCTCTGTACGCTAACTAAAAAAATAACAAAAACTACACCTTGTGGATTGCAATGCAAGCATATGTGGTGTGGATTAATTGGAGGGTTTTTGTCCTCTTTTGGTGAAGGCCTTCTTCCTTTATTTAAATCTTTTAGGATATCCTTTCAAACAGTCTAGCTCTTCAATCATACATAGATACATAATATATATATAATTATATATATATATATATATATATGTATGTATGTATGTATGGGGTGGTAGTCTTTATATTATTAGTCAACACAAAGAATGTGCAAGTTATCATGGTTTAAACACAGACCACATGCATGATGTTGATAGCTAGGTATGGTATATGAACATGCAAAACACAACCTGTATTAATTTGTCTTTTAACAATAAGCTGCTTAATTTTGTATTAATGGAGGGCAAAGGTGAAACATGAATGAAGCTATTGTAATGCATCAATCATTATACAAGCTATTAACTATCAAAAAGAATCTACATATAATCCTCCTTTTCTTTACTTGATTAAAAGATGTGAACTTTAGCAGCTTCATTGAGTGTTCTTTTTTAATTTAGAAAGGAGGTTAAGTTGAAAAACAATTAAGTTTTTTAATTAATTAAGTTTGTTAACGGTGCTTTTGTTATGTGAGGTTGAATAGTACAAGGCAAAACAAAGATTTATTAACCTACGTTTACATTAAGTTAAAATTCCGTCTCTATCAAAATGGGTGGAGATACTATGTAATTTATTTTCAAGTCTTTAATTTTTAGTTGTTGCCCTCTGTGGAGATACCGGGGATACAGTTTGTATTTTATTTTCAATGCAATTAACTTTTAAGTATTTCTCTTCTTCTACTATGTTCTTTACTCTAATTATTAGTTAAGCACCCCCTTGGGTGTGGGTGTGGGTGTGGGTGTGGGTGTGGGTGTGAGTCAAAATTAAGACTAGTAGGCAACACTTAGATGTTGTCATCGTTGTTAATTCTTAAGTTTGGTTACTTAAGTCGGGACTTAAACTCAACGTCGATAAGCCGATTACTTTGAAGTGTTAATATTAGATTTTGACCCAGAGATGGGCGAATTCGAAATTTGTCTTAAGTGATACACAAAGATTTGATAAAGTATTTAATAACCACGTACAGATATGGGTTTTGTATGATTTGCTAAAGTTCAAACATTGGTCGAGATTTATATCATAGAGATTTGGGTATAAATCTTCATACTAATAGAACTTGATATTTTTATCAACTTAGTCAAATCGAAAAAATTAAGAATCGATAATGGTGGGCACATTGTGGGCACAATCTATAAAGATTCACTTTCAAGAGATAGAGATCTTTATAGACATTTTTGTGACCCAGTATCTGACCATTTTGTTACTACATATATCTTAAGGAAAACTTACATCCATATCCATTTTTAGTTACTTGTTTATATTTCATTGTGATCAAACTAACTAAAATATATTTTATTTTCTCTCATTGAGATCATTGTATTCTCAACTTACTAGTCAAACCTTGGAAGTCTGATCCTTGTGGATACGATCTCCGTATTTTACCAATTTATTACTTGAAAGTGAACTCAATAGTGATGTATAATTGCACTATTATTGTGCCACATTTACGTGTATGTATTTTTTCGACCACTCTCCATCTCGCTCTCCCTTGTTTCCGCACCCCACGCCAACCTCCATGATTGTCCATAATCTCCGGCATTAGATTTGGTTCATGTTCCAAATTTGGTTTATGGAGTATCAAACTTGCATCATCCCTCATCTCCACCATCACCAAGCAAATGGGAAGGGTTACGGGTTTGGTAAATTACGAATCTAGTCATTTGTTACAGAACGGATCTGGATGCAAGATTAAAGTGAAGAAGAAGGGGTTGCGTTGCACATATGGGTTGAGAGTTGAATAAGCAAAACAACAGACTCTAGGGAGTTGCAAGGCCTATCCCACGACTAAGTCGCTCGGCTAGTCGCGTAAGTCACTATGTGTGGCTTTTTTCGATTTTTGCTTCATGTCATTTTGGGGTCTTTCGGGTTTTTGTTTACATTCTTTTAGGGTTATTTATAGATAAGGTCAAGTCTACCTATCTAAATTGTAATCATTATGTATCTTATTTGGATTCAAGCATTCGATATTGATTATCTCGTATCGTTTAAAGTCGTTATATCTTATATTGTATCAAGTGAGTTTTCTTTTACCTTTATCAAACGAAATGCATATTTATACCAATTTACGGATACGCCAATGCTATAGTTTATCATTGTACTTTGAGATTACCATATCTGATTCTATGAGACGTGGTACGTGATGAGTAATTGAATCCATTGGGTCTTGTTGTTGGTTTTATGAGTTAAGGAACTTAAACACCAGGAGCACATATGAGTGTGAGACTATAGTGATCCATGCAGAGATGATAACTGTAACCCATGAAAGCTTGTGGTTGCGTTGTCAATATTGATTGCGATCGTATCAGAGTGTGTCTCTTCATCAAAGCGATTATTGTGGAGAGTTATCTTGTGGGATACAGTCTTGTGATCCCATATTGTTCTTACTTGATGTATTTCTGTTATATCAAAGTCTTGTTTACTGGATTCTCGTAAGGACAAGAAAGCTCAGTAGACTGTATGATCTAACCCTCATTTTGTTTCAAAATATGCATTTGGAGGTAGCTTCGTCTAGAAGGTAAAAGAAATTTAAACTATGAGAATTACCTATTTGGATTTCTTATGAGAAACTATAATTTTATGTTGGTTTTTGTTTGAATTTGTATTCTAAAATGTTCTTGGTGTTCTTGATTATAGTTTGAGATCGAGATGACGAATTTTCAAGAAAAATTAAATTAATTGAAAAAAAAATGGTAAAATAAAGAAATAAAGGTAAAAAAAAACCACAATACCCTTGAGTTCAATATAGGAAGTGAATGGTCATTAGTGATGAGAAGGACCAAACCCATAACTAATTGCATAGTTGGAGGGTTCTTTTGTAATAAATGACGATTCCATAAAAATGATAAATCTCAAGGACCAAATCCATAAATTTACTTTGTTATTATTATATATATTATAAATATTAACAATATAGTCCTGTTTATAATGTCACTTGTAAACAACTTATTTAGTTATGTCTGATACATCTATCAAAACATTTGAGAGATAAATTAGGGGATGTTTGTTTTTAATAAAAAAGTTCTTAATGTCCTCTTAAGTCTGAATCGGTCAGACATAAGAGGATTTATGGTGTTTGTTTGTTTTTCAATTAAGAGCTTAAAAGCTCTTATTAGGTCTAAAAATTTCAGTAGTTGCGAAACCTCTTATTACCTCTTATTTCAAATTGTCGTCTATCTACTTTGATCTCTTTACACTCGATTTCTCTGGATCAACTCTTTTGTCTCGATCTCTCATCTCTCAACTCTGTCAAGTGTCGATCTATATCAACTCCCGATTTTTCATCTTCAAACTTCAGATTTCAGAAGCAAAAAACAAATAGTCTGACTGATTCAGATTTCAGACTTCAGCACCACCTCTTAAAAATCAGAAGTGAATTCAGACTTCAGACTTCAGCACCTCTTAAAAAACAAATGTCACCTTAGACTTTAAACCATTTACCAAACACATATTAATTGTAAAAACAAACTCTATAATATCCAAAAAAACACCGACAAATGTTGTTTTTTAGTACAATAAAATCAAGAATTACATTTAAAACATGTAGACAATTTGATTTGGTTTGATGATCAAGAATGGCGAGTGTAGCCAGCGGCACACACTTCAATCCACCTGGACCAGATTCAACCTACCCTTAGTAAAAATATTGAAAAAAAAATGTCTGTTTTCTTTGGAATTGCTTATAAAAACAACTTATTAGCTTATTTCGATATGATATCAGTAATAAGTGTTTTTGAGTGTTTGGATAAACAACTTATGCCGGTATCAAACCGGTAATAAATAGTTTTTAAAGAAATTAAATTCTTCTGACTTATAATAAATTGATAAGTGTTTTTGTAAAAAATTATAAGTTGTTTCAAATAAACAATCTCAAACACTTTTTTACAACTATTCGGTTTTTCGAGGGTCAGGAAAATAATTATACCAATCATAATATTTAACCGATCCTTTTGTTTCATGAACAAAACAAAAAATTATAACTTTTAACCGTTTACGACACAAAGCGTGAATTGTGAAAAAGAAAAATCATGAAGGAATCTATAGATTGCAGTGTCCACTTGTACCGTACAAACTGACACAACACACTCGACTTCCTTAAAAACCCAAGGACTTCCTTCTACTTTCCATATTTCTCTTTGCTCAACACACTGCTGTCCACACGTAGTGGTGAAAAAGCAACCACTTTCCACCACCACCACCACCACCGACAGCAGCCATGTCCGTCAAAGAGTGCACCCACCACAAGAATAAGGGACGTAATCTTCTCCGGCGACTCTGTGCCGGATTCCTCATCCTTGCCTTCATCGTCCTCCTTACTTTCCTCATCACATGGGCCATTCTCCAGCCCAAGAAACCACGGTTCACCCTCCAAGACGCCACCATCTACTCCTTCAACGTCTCCGCTCCCATCCTCCTTTCCTCCAACTTTCAGATCACCGTTTCTTCCCGTAACCCTAACGACAGGATCGGCGTCTACTACGACAAACTCGACGTCTTCGCCTCTTACCACAGCCAGCAAATTACTTACTTCACCGCCATCCAGCCGGTGTACCAAGGCCATAAGGACACCAACGTCTGGTCTCCGTTTATTTACGGAACCAACGTCCCGGTGGCGCCGTACAATGGTGCGTCGTTGACTCAAGACCAATCGGACGGTGCAATCTCGCTATTGATCAAGCTGAACGGACGGGTGAGATGGAGAGTTGGAAGGTTTATATCCGGGCGGTACCACATCCATGTGACGTGTCCCGCTTATATTCCGTTCGGAAACAAGCAGAATTCGGCGATCCCCGGAATTGTTGTCGGCACCGGAATTAAGTATCAGTTATCTCAGAGGTGCAGTGTGAATGTGTGAAGACGATAGATATATCTCATCTTAATGAACGGTGTCGTTTTGAAATGTCTTCCTATTCACACCTCACTTTACTTTCTCTTTCCTTTTTTTTTCTTTATATATATTTATTATTGGATGCATACGTGGACGAATTTGTAAATTTTGGTGGATGAGAATAAAAAGCAAAAGTTAGCATTGGAAAGTTATCGCAAATAATTTGTATGAATATGAATCAACCAATTAAAAGATATTCAATTAATTCCATTCATTAGTGAATAGTGAATAGTGAATAGTGAATGTATAATTTCATTTCATTTCATTTTCAAAAGAATATAAGAAAAGGTGATGGCTTCTTAGTGTGGGGTTTGGTTTAATTAGGTTTGGGACATGACATACCATACCACATGCCATGCCATGCCATGTGGGTGTACATGTGTGAGAGAAGTAACAAAAATTCTTATACAATTATTGTTGTCATAAAAATAATATATAAATAAATAAATAATAATTCTATATATATATATATATATCTATACTATATTATAAAGCATTTGGCTAAAACTCTTAAAAACTCTTAAAACTCTTAAAACTCTTAAAAACTCTTAAACCTATTCATCCCTATCCGATTTCATCTCATACATGAATTCGTGTAACTAACTGCAGATAAACCCAATCAAATACAGGATAAACATCTCATTTTAAATATAAAATATAATTAGTATAACCATTAAATTCTAACAGAATATTTAATTATTATCTTTATAA